TATTGTCGATGCAAAAGAATTAACAGTCTAGATTATTGGCCGAATGATATGTCCTGTTATAGGTTGTGACTGCGTTACCTGACCGTGTGATATGTACCAAGCACAATAAATGTGCGTTTGCCTCTGTTACAACATTAATGGGCCATATGACACCATGTTTGTTTGTTTGATTGTTTGTTTTGTTTAACTCGGGGCCAGATGAATGCTATTGTTTTTAATGATTATCGTTGTGCACGGGCCAGGCAATAAATAAATGTTCTTGATAATCGTTGTGTATGGGCCAAGTAATAAATAGATGCTCTTGATAATCGTTGTATTTAGGTCAGGCAATAAATGAATATTCTTGCTAACCTTTTTTGCTAACCCCCGGCATATAATGCGGGGGGATATAGCGACCAGCCAGTCTGTCTGTCCGTCCGTCTGTCCGTCCGTCCGTATTCATTTCCTTTTCCGGGGCAGAATTCCAAAACCATTCAGTGTATTTGATCGAAACTTGGCAAATCTATCAGGCACATACTGAAGTGGTGCCTTTTGATATTTTGGGATTTTTCTAATTTTTATTTTTTAAAATTTTTATGGAATGAAGTTGGACATTGACTCAATTTGGGATGGGGTTCGTTTCCGGGCCAGAATTCGAAAACCGTTCAGTGTGTTTGATCGAAACTTGGCAAAGCTATCAGGCACATACTGAAGTGGTGCCTTTTGATATATATTTTTTTACGAATTTTTATTTTTTACAATTTTTATGGAAAGAAGTTGGACCTAGACTCTATTGGGGAACGGGTTCGTTTCCGGGCCAGAATTACGAAAACCATTCAGTGGGTAAACAATGTATGCTTCTTAAAGAACATTCAACTGTTGACTCATTACATACAGAATTGCACATTTTCTAGTGGTTACTTGACAGACAGCTGCCGGGGGGATATGTCATCTTTCTGATGACTCTTGTTGTATGGGCCAGGCAAGGAAAAAATGTCCTCGATTAACGCTGCGTACGGGCCAGGCAATGAATATTTGGTCCTGATTATTGTTGTGTACGGGTTGGGAAAGAATAAATGTACTTGCTTATCGCTGTGTATGAGTGAGGTGGTGAGTAAATATTCTTCCTTATCGTTTTGTTTGGGTCAGGCAATAGGTGAGGTGAGGTGAAATGGGGTTTAACGTCGCGTCCCAGATTATTGCACTTATATAGCGACGTGCATGTACGTGTGTGTGTTTGTGTGGCTGCTTGTACTGGTCCGGACTGATGCCGATTTATAGCGCTAGCTCACTGAGACACCATGCCGCAGTTTAACACAGTATACTGACTCCGAGCCGACCCGTCCTTGTTTTAGCCCCTTAATGCCGAGCGCCAGACAGGGTAACAACAAGTACCATCTTTGAACGTCTTTTGGTATGACGCGGCCGGGGATCGAACCCCGGACCTTCCGCTCTCCGGGCGGACGCTCTACCACTAGACCACGGGTCAGGCAATAAACACTGTATCTAAATATCGTCTGTACGGGTCAGTCAATTAATGTACACTACACAAAGATGGCTAAGGATCACCACTTTAAAAGGTAATATTTCAAATTGTGTGCATCTGTTGCCGCAAGCTAAATATTGCGTGAAGACATGTTATAGAACAAAAGTCCGTTGTCATGTGCCACACAATGCCAACAAACAACTTGTGAACAATAATCAGTCGGATCCCTTGTCAAAATGAGAGTATCTGATCAAAACAGAAACGTAAAATAATCATGAAAATAAATTCATTGCCCCCAAAACAACTCGCGTTTGTGATTCACGTGATGCGATCACAGCCTGGTACCGTCGTCTCATGCTCCAAAGAGTGAGTGAGTTTGGTTTTATGCCGCTTTTAGTAATATTCCAGCAATATCACGGCGGGAGACACCAGAAATGGGCTTCACACATTGTACCCATGTCGGGAATCGAACCCGGGTCTTCGGCGTGACGAGCGGAGCGAACGCTTTAACCACTGGGCTACCCGACCGCTCCATGCTCCCAAGAAGTGTCTGGATGGTTACAAAGGGAAGATAGTTCTACTCTTCAGTAAGAACATTGCCGAGATCCTGTAGAGTCTCGGGAAGGACAGGGCGTCGTGAGGGGGATCTGCAGCTTGTGCCCCATGTGTTCGATAGGGTTGTGGTCTGATGACCGGGCTGGCCACTCCATGCGGACAATGGTCTCCTATTCCAAATAGGTATCAACGACCCTGACATGATGAGGATAAAGTCAGGTCCAATTGCACCACCATACGGTCTCACGTACACATTCAGAATGTCATCCCTGTAGCGCACACCTGTCATCGTGCCCCGCTTTATAGGACATGGAGATCGGTTCATCCAGCTCTTCTGATCCCACCCAAATCCTGATTGAGCCCCCTCAATAGCTGTCATGTTCGGCTATGTTGGAATCACGAAATCTCCCTGTCCACAGCTCACTCGGCCACGACGATCTGAGAAGTTTAGACAGTGTCTCGATTCATCAGTGAAAAAGTACCGGAGCCCAGTCCTTGTCTGTCCTATGCATCTGCCTAATTCTTCGGTCGCCAAACGATGTCTTTAACGCTGAGGTCGCTGAGCAGGCCAAGGGACAGTGTTTACGGTATGATGTCCAGTGAAATCTGGGACCACACGTGCAACGCAACGGAGTGCATTGTCATACTGTAGAGTGATGTGACGTCCATAGATCTGAAGGGACGAAAAGACGGAAAACTTCGTCACGGTACCGTGCCCCTGTGTAAATAGCCATCGATAACAACTACAGGGTTCAAATGTGTAGTGATACCTCCCACACCATTACGCCCCCACCAAATGTCATTCATGAGAGGGATGGATACTCTAGAAACAGATTGCAGTCAGTGCTGATTCCTGGGTTGACAATAATTGTTTTTGACTGCATAATGTGACAGTCCAATTCGTGGTGTGGTCTGTGTGCTCATACTGTCCAGCATTGTGGAAATGAATGTTTTTAAATGATACCGATTGCTCGTGTCAGCTTCATTATTCGTGTGACAGGTGTTCAGTTTTCTACTCTTTTGTCCAACAATGAATCACACCAGTCATTTCCCCCAAAGTGGGTGATGCTTAGCTATTGCTCAAGTGTTCTGATCCTATAGGATGGACTGCTTTGTCGTGGTTGCAAAGTATTTTTCAACAAATCCCCTCTGAGGTGTATATATTTCTGCCAACGATGCTGACTGGATCCCACTGGTGAAGAAGACTTCCTTCTGAGCGTGAAAACCCCTCCACAGAGGAAATGACATCATCATTGTCCCCCGCCGCGCGAAATATAGTATTCACGACCGTCCGTACGTCCGTCCGTACGTCCCACCTGTTTGTTGCCGCGATATCTCAAGAACTAAACGCTGGATTGTCTTCATATTTGGAACTATGGTGTATATACAGACTCCGCATACACCAGTCGGTTTTGGTGACCTTGACCCCATTTTCAAGGTCACAGCAGGCAAATCTGCTTTTGGAGTTGGAAACGGTGTTGCCGCAATATCTCAAGAACTAATCGCTGGATTGTCTTCATATTTGGTACTATGGTATATATACAGGCGGGGGACATTTCGTCACTTTGTGACAAATACTTGTTTGTATATTGCTTGCCAGACAGTTCTTTTTCGTGTTTGGGAAGAGGTGGAAATGTGACAAAGCCAAATCTGATAAATATATGGAGGAATATGAATATGAACGCTTAAACCACTAGGCTACCCGACCACCCGAATATGGAGGATGTTCAATGAGTTCAACTAAAAACACCAATCATCAACTTTTCATGCACATACATCAATATTTCCAACTGCCGCAACAGTATTTCATTTAAAACACAGTGTGTCAGCTTGATGTGGGAGGAAAGCCTGAAGTGTTGCAAGTCTTAAGACTTTTATTACACTTGAAAACCAGGACCATGGATCTGGTGCTTACAAACCCAGAAACATAAATCCGAGTAAACTTAATTTGTCTCTCAGGTCATAGGTTTCTGGTGTACCCAACAGACGAAACTGCACAGCGTCTATAGATGACTGGGCTACCCATGCACCCATGTGAAGTAAACAATAGAGGAATATGTGACTGTTTGCCAAGCTTGACGACTGAGAATTCCATGTACAGATTTCTCTGGATCTATTAGAGTTTATCTTGAAAGTATCCTAACTGTGGTGGCATGACACCAACACGGTCCTGGCGTCCCTCAATCAAGTGATTGTTTTCGAAATGTGATGTATTGTTCAAAATGTGATGTATTGTTCAAAATGTGATGTATTGTTCATGATGTCTGAGTGAGTTGGGTTTAACACCACTTTGAACAGTATTCCAGTTATATGAAAGCGTGTCAGGTTGATGTTGGGGGAAAGTGAGTGAGTGAGTATGAATATCACGGCGGGGGACACTAAAAATGGACTTCACACATTGTACCCTTGTCGGGAATGGAACCCGGGTCTTTGGCGTGACGAGCGAACGCTTTAATCACTAGGCTTCCCGACCACCCCCGTGGGAGGAAAGCCCGAAGTGATGCAGGTCTGAGATGTTTACCACTTTGATGAAACCCACGAGTACAGGCATGGTGCGGACAAACCAAGAAACATGATCAGGGCGAACTGGGATTCGAACCCACAATGATGATGTTGGAACTTGTTGACATTATGTCATAAGAAGGTCACCTTCAGGGAAGTAGTGTTTGGAACCTACAGATTCTCTGCTGTTTGTGAACGAGCCAAAAGCCTTGGGGTTTCAGTGTTCCTTCATTAGGTGCAGGTTTTTTAGTAATTTATTATAGCTAGTTGGTCATACCATGGTCAGGGATCAGTGTAAATTCCAATCAAATATTGTTTTCTCAGTTCCCTGAAAAAGCTGCCTGCCTGTTATACTAAAATACTACCTGGAAGGTTTTCTTTCTATGCAAATGGTACTCATTTGCTGCTGGACATCCACTATGAACAACAGGTCATATCGCTTCTAGCAATCAGCTTTGACAAACAACCAAACAGACTGTGATAATATCAGATTTTATTACCTGTTTGCCATGTTTCACAAAGATGTGATGACTATATACAGACTGCCCTTGAAACAATGTGATACATTGTGATACTGACACACATCAGATTAACATAACAACATGTCCAGCCTGTCTGGACTGCAGCACCATGGTGGATGAGGAACACAGCCTAGCAAGCCACAAGTGATCACGCCTCACAGGAAACAAGTACAACAACGGTCAACCTTTCACACAGTAAGTGGCACCTAGCTTGTCTGGGACCCTACTTCTAGACTGGCACACTTGGGTGCCAACCCAGCCTCTAGACATCCGTCATACGACTTCATTTTGTTTGTTTGTTGTTAAACGCCGCACTCAGCAATATTTCAGCTTTATGACGGCGGTCTGTAAATAAACGAGTCTGGACCAGATAATTTGGTGATTGACATCATGAGCATCAATCCACGCAATTGGGACATGATTACATGCATCAACCAAGTCAACACTGACCACCTGATCCCATTAGTCGCCTCTTACGACAAGCATAGTCGCCTTTTACAGCAAGCATGGGTTGGTGAAGAACTATTCTACCCCTCATATCAGTGTACACAGCCGGTACAAGTAAATTAGACTGGGATTTTCACACAGAATGCTTGACTATTCGTGCTCATAAGCTTAGGGCTAAATATTTTATTGATTTGTCACTAATTGCAAGAAGATTTTTTTCTTCAAAATTGAAATACTGGCATACGCATACCAGATAAACATTTCATGGCATCAGGAGTACAACTTTACAGGGCTCAGTATCTGGTGTACTGAAAGGAGGTTGGCACCATCACAATTGTTGATGATCACTCTCCACTGCAGGCTAGACAGGAACTAGATCTCCATGAAGCCACAGTATTCGGCAACTACAGCTAATGTTTATAATTCCCCACCTGCCCTATAATTAAACTGGCTGTTGGCATACTACTGGCCTCTACAACAGCTGACTATGTGTTAGTGTACTTAACTCAACACCACATACATGGGCAATATATCTCATATATCATGAGCTGTAGTCTGGTTAGACGTATGCTTATTTTCTGAAAAGACCAGTCATCTTTAGAAGCTATCAGAAATATATTATGACTAATCCAGCTGTGATTAGATCACAGCCAGGTACTGGGATCCAGGGCCCCATTCCACAAAGCAATCTTAGCGCTTAGGCGATCATAATTCCCTTACTTTAACATAGATTTAAAACAATTGTAGCGCAAAGATTGCTTTACGGAACGGGAACCAGGAGAAGAGTGAATGCCTGCAATCATCACATATAGGTAACCTTCACTGAGAAAAACAGATTCACATAAAAAAACAATTATGAAGCAACAAATTGGTTTATCCCATATCCATGCCTCAGTTTGGGCTCACGTGCACAAAGTTATCTCAGCTTAATGCAAGTCATGTTTCCACTGGTTCATCTACAGTTAGACACTACAAGAGTCAGTGAGTGAGTATGGTTTTAAGCCACATTTAGCAATATTCCAGCAATATCAAGGGACACCAGAAATAGACTTTCTGTACCCATGAGGGGGGAATCGAACCCGATTCTTTGGCGTGAAGAGCCAACACTTTAACCACTAGGCTACCCCCTTACCCTGGGTAAGTGAAGGGGGGGGGGGAAGACTTTAACTGGTGTATACTACTCAGAAATGGTTAAGGATAACCAGTTTTCTTCATATAAACTATGTCAATACGAAAGACTGGTAATAGTAATATGAATGGGGTGATCCTTAACTTTTCTGAGTAGTATATGTCAGGTGTGACAGCTCAAATAAGAGGGAGAATAGGTTAAGAGAGACATTTATAACTTTGCTGAAATCAACCTTCTTTTTTTAAAGAAACATTTTAAGAAAATACTTCTGTGATCCTACACATCTTCATGTTCCATTTCTTCACAGAATAATTTCAACCAAAACTATAAGACCTCCATTCATGAAATTTGAACTATACTATAACTCATAATTTGAACTATAACTTTTGTCAGTGTTGGAGTTGAAATGAAGAAGAAATGCAATTTGCATGCCTCTAAGATTGACTTCATTGTAAAAGTGGGCCCTCAGACACAAGGTGACATTTACTTGCCATTTAGGTGATGCTTTCACTGGAATGGTACATAACTTTCAACATTATTAACTACCATATCATAAACAAACACATGCAATGATCTGCCAGTCTGTTACTTTTCAAAGCTTTCAGTCATAGAAGTGTAAATGGCATTATCGTTTTGATTAAAGTGAACAGTATGAAAAAAATATCAAATAATACCAGTCATGTCTCCTTTTAGAATCCTGCAGAATCTAACCCAGGTATTCCTGTATTCAAATGTTATGGTTAATAGATCTGTTTAAAATGCGTAGCTGTTGAAATGATTCATTAAAGTGAAATAATAAATCTTCTATTTTGATATTGGCCAAAACAATTAAAAATTGTAAACTGATAAAAACTTTTGCTAATTAGGATAGCTCAACAGTTACCTGCAAACAAATGTATAATCACATTCATCACTGGTGATTGAACATACAAGGAGAACTGTCGAGATATATTTTTCTACAAGACCAAAGAACACCCAAATTTGGACAAGTTCCTATCTATGAAAGAAAATAATGACCTAATTTTGACACTCCAATGACCAATAACTTTTTAAGTTCAATTTGAATGGGTATGGTCTAAGATATAAATTTAAAGTAAAAACCCCATTGTTTTGAGATTTTATTGGTGGCTGCGTTAATGCTATATCTACAAAGCCGTACTAAACATGTGTATATCCTGTATCCGTAACAGCATGGATCTATTACATTTCACCATCAGACCATGTGGAGGTATTCAAGATATTTGATTATTATTATGTCGTAATCATCAGACATAAAGCAACACGATTCCTAGAACAGGGGCTGGATTTCAGCAATACAACTCTTCCTATACTAAACCAAGAAAGTAAGGGATCATGAATAATTTGGGGAATATTTTTTTGTAGTCAAGACTGAGCACACAATTTCATCAAAATATCTCAAACTATTCACGATCCTAAACTTGTTTTTCAGTATATTTATAAACTCAACTTGAAGTAAGGTACAAGCATAAGGCAGTTCGCAAATTCATACAGAAATATCTTAATTACAATAACTACTACAAAATCCAGTATTCTAGGTCATTATAATAATAATGTTAGTATAACATTGTATCCAGATATCAAATTGTGTGGGAGATGAAAATATGAGATGAATTATGGCACTGAAACTCAAAAGTTTAATATATTGCAAAGCAACTTATTGCAAACAACAGGAAAAGTAATAAATAATTGTAAAATACACCAAGACCGTTAATACATTGGTTATATCAGTAACATGGTGTAAAGGGATGAGAGGTGTAGAATGGACTGAGGTAATCATGTTGGGAAATGAGAGTGATGTGTGAAGCTACCCCTCCCCATGACAGTCAGCGATATCCTCGTCTTGTCTGGATAGTCATGTGTGACGCTACCCCTCCCCATGACAGTCAGCGATATCCTCGTCTTGTCTGGATACTCATGTGTGACGCTACCCCTCCCCATGACAGTCAGCGATATCTTCGTCTTGTCTGGATACTCTTGTGTGAAACTACCCCTCCCCATGACAGTCAGAGATATCCTCGTCTTGTCTGGATACTCATGTGTGAAGCTACCCCTCCCCATGACAGTCAGCGATATCCTCGTCTTGTCTGGATACTCATGTGTGACGCTACCCCTCCCCATGACAGTCAGCGATATCTTCGTCTTGTCTGGATACTCTTGTGTGAAACTACCCCTCCCCATGACAGTCAGAGATATCCTCGTCTTGTCTGGATACTCATGTGTGAAGCTACCCCTCCCCATGACAGTCAGCGATATCTTCGTCTTGTCTGGATACTCTTGTGTGAAACTACCCCTCCCCATGACAGTCAGAGATATCCTTGTCTTGTCTGGATACTCATGTGTGAAGCTACCCCTCCCCATGACAGTCAGCGATATCTTCGTCTTGTCTGGATACTCTTGTGTGAAACTACCCCTCCCCATGACAGTCAGAGATATCCTTGTCTTGTCTGGATACTCATGTGTGAAACTACCCCTCCCCATGACAGTCAGCGATATCTTCGTCTTGTCTGGATACTCTTGTGTGAAACTACCCCTCCCCATGACAGTCAGAGATATCCTTGTCTTGTCTGGATACTCTTGTGTGAAGCTACCCCTCCCCATGACAGTCAGCAATATCCTTGTCTTGTCTGGATACTCATGTGTGAAGCTACCCCTCCCCATGACAGTCAGCGATATCCTCGTCTTGTCTGGATACTCATGTGTGAAACTACCCCTCCCCATGACAGTCAGCGATATCCTCGTCTTGTCTGGATACTCATGTGTGAAACTACCCCTCCCCATGACAGTCAGCGATATCCTCGTCTTGTCTGGATACTCATGTGTGAAACTACCCCTCCCCATGACAGTCAGCGATATCCTCGTCTTGTCTGGATACTCATGTGTGAAACTACCCCCCACCCCATGACCCAGCCAGCAATATCCTTCTGTTGCCTGGACAGTCACCATACAATATCCAACAGAAACATTACCTGGAATCAAGAAGGGTCAACTACTGAGTTTGTGTGTGAATCTATGCCATCGTTCCAAAACTACCCTGTGGATTGTCACCAAAGGATTAATTTAAATGGGTTTTTTTCTTATCATGATGATAATTAGGCTTAAAAAAAACCCTGCATCTTCCCACTGGATCCATGTATGTAACAAAGAATAGTTGACACCCTGGGTAAACCTGAGATAGTGTCCCTGCATATTTTGGTAATTATTAACTGATAGACCTGTTAGCTGCAAGATAGATATAAATCCCAAAGCAACAATTCGTCTTCCATGGCATGGAAGTTATTTATTTGTCCAGACCAACTCGTCACCATTGTTTCAAACATTGTCACGAAGTAGAGAGTGAGTGAGTATGGTTTTACGCCGCTTTTAGCAATATTCCAGCAATATCACGGCGGGGGACACCAGAAATGGGCTTCACACATTGTACCCATGTCGGGAATGGAACCTGGGTCTTCGGCGTGACGAGCGAACGCTTTAACCACTAGGCTACCCGACCTCCCCCCACGAATAGAGAGAAGTTATGAACACACAATGCCATGGAAAGCTCGGTGGCCAAGTGGGTTAGTTCGCTGACTTTGTGTGCTGGCGATTAGGTGCCTCCTCTGAGAGTGTGGGTTCGAATCCCGGATGGGACTTAACCCCAAAAAGTACTAGAATCTGTACTTTACTAAGAAAGTGTTATCCCAAATGTAACAGAAAAAATTGTTTAACAAACTATCGAGTAATTGTTGGTGTTTCAATGCCTGTTGTTACAAGGGGGTCTGCGCGATAAACATAACAGCTGAAGCGAATCGCAGAACACAGGGACAGTCTCAATAGTTCTATTCTCAAATATTTTCATTGTCTATGTGTCACTCTCAACTGAAATAAATAATTTGACTGACAGTTGCATGATCTAAACCATCTGCTACAGAAAGATACGCTCTGATTTACATTTTTTATTTGACAGGATTTTATCACAGAAAAGACAGAAGTAGGTTGGGCTGTTCAGTTTACAGTGCAGACCCCCTTGTAACAACTGTCATCAAAACGCCAACAATTAGGTACATGAGAATTTGCTAAACAACTTTTTCTACCCTTCATGACAACGTGTGAAATTAGGGTGAACAGTTGGTATGGACAATTTAATAACTGTCATGCCATTTAAGATGAATTGTTGCTTTTGGATTAATATCAATTTGGTATTTAATTGGTAAAATTTGGCAGCAAACAGACTATAGAAAGCAGACAAATGGTCATAATGAAACCTGCCTATTGGCCTAATCTAGTGCCTCTGTGTACACACTGCTTAGCAATTAGTGAGCTAGGATTAAAACTGTCTTGAACATATTTTAGGCATTCAACGTAATATTCATACTGTATTCGACGTAATAAGCACCCAGGGCGCTCTCAAAATTGGAAATAGGGGGGCTCTTAATAGAATATTATTTTGGTAACAAAAAATAGAGTTGATTGTAAATTTCATGGTTTATGCTGACAGCCTGAAATGTTTACATACAACAGATATATATTTTTCCAGAATTTAATTGCCCATTGTTAAGGGTGCATATAACACACGAGTGCGTATTATGTACACACGAATAAATAAGTCTTGAGTACATTGATCAATCGGAAGGGGTGCTAATTGGGATTATTAACTAGCCAATATATTAGCAAATATCGCCATGGGCGCTTATTGCATCGAATACGGTATGACGTGTGGGGAAAGCCTGAAGCGATGTAGGTCTTGAACGTTTACCACTTTGGCGAAGCCCACAAGGATGGTATGGTCCTGACAAACCTAGACCCTATAATCAGGGTGAATCAAAGATTCAAACCCACAATCATATGTTTCTTGATCACACAAGGGATGCAACTCTGCACAGCAAATTGTGGTTTTGACAACTGGACCGCCCTTACTGTTGACACTGGAACTTTCAGCGTGTGAGAGGGAAGACAGCTGTTTGCTGCTTTGAAATATACAGAATGGAATATGAGTATGATGTTTAACGATGACAGATAAATTATAACTTATGCTGGGTGAAAATGTTAAATGACATGTGATCGCAGTTGATAAGGCACGATGACCATAGTTTCCAGATCCCTAAAAGGATTTGAAATTGATTCTTAAAATAATATATACATTCTGATGTTGTCTTTGTTTAATAATTTACATACAGCCTGGCAAACGAATGCCGGAATAATGACAAAAAAATTGATAGTGAACATATCACCGAATGTCACAAAAAAAAAACCAGGTGCTTGAAAACAAGATGGACAACATGAGGTGAAGTTTGGTTACTGTACTTTGGTCTTGGGGGTACAACTTCTCACATCATGCTTAAACAGCAACACTGTAATTAACAGAACATTCTCGATCAAGGACAGACCAATTCAATAACTTGTTTTATATTCACATATATTATTTGTGAAACATGTCTGAAAACAGGTAGGAGGAAAGGGAGAACAGTCACAGGAAATATGCCCCTGTTAGCATATTTCACTGCTAAAATGTGTTTGTTTGAGTTTAGATATTTTCATAGACAGCTGATGGGTCTACAAAACAGGCAATAACTTGGTCTTGTCTTACCAAAACAATACAAATTCATTTCATGTAATAACCACTATATATACTACTCAAAAGAAGTCAAGGACCACCCGATTCTTTCATAGAACTATAGTGAATGGGTCATGGGATGACAAAGTAGACACAATTTATGGATAACAACTTCTTTATTTACTGTACAGGCAACGTGTTGGTGTAGATCCTTATACTATTGTCAAGCAAGGCTGATGACTTGAATACCTATAGTGATATGAAAGAAACAGGTGGTCCTTAACTTTTTTTTGAGTAGTATAAGACATTGTACAGCAATTACTCACAGAATCAACAATTTCATTCACTTACAGAAATGCCAGAGAAACAGCTGTCTGGCTTACCTCAACAGCCCGAACCAGTCAGAACAATTCTCGTTTTCCAGCATCTAGTGAACTTCTACAAAGACATAACAAGTTTGATTCTGTGCCTCCACCTCCTCCATGTAATACCTGATGGTAGGGCTACCATCGAACTGAAGCAGCTCATAACATCAACACACATAACAACTAAATCACAGTATTCCATCACCATCTACTCAAATAGGGCTTGTGAGAGTTATCTCCCTTTGGATGCATTAATTGGTGTAGCTTTGGTCATGTCTGAATATTGGTTTCATGTTGGCTTTGTTTGTTGTTTTACACCACACTCGGCAATATTGTAGCCATATGATGGCGGTCTGTAATTAATCAAATCTGGACTTGACAATCCAGTGATTGATTTCATATGATAGAGATTAATATTGGGTGTATTCAATGTGTCCTTTCCCTTCTTTCTCAGTACAACAAATACAGACAGAATGCGGAGTTTCCCCCAGCACACACCTCTCTCCACCTAATGCATTCCTCTTGTAGGGCTGGGACTAGTCCAAATCTACTACCCGGGTACCCACTGTAGATCTCAGGAGATGTCTCAAAATGTACGACTGGGAACATTTTTAGCATAGCCCTGGCAAAACGTATTTAGATACATGTATTAAACATGTATCTGGTCATTCATACACTGAAGCTGAATTAAGTTATATCTTTATTCAACCATATGAAAAATCAGAAGGAATGGGTGATTAGTCAGAAAGAAATGCGAAAATTAGTGACTTCTAGTGTAACCATATATTGTTTAATGACAAAATTATCAAGAACTCTATCACGTGACTAACCACGGGTCCGGGTAGTCCTGTGGGTAGCCGGGTCCTACTCAGTACCCACCCGGCACGGGTACCCGAGTTACCCGTCCCACCCTTATCCTCTTGATCCACAAATGTATATGGCTCGACCAGTTCACTAAAATTAATGCGGACTCATAAATATCTGCAAGCCTCCTGGATAACTTGGATAGGAATAACAGTTATTTCTCAACAGTATAGTGACAGGTCATATAGACAATTCATTCAGTCAAGCTTGAGTGAGCGAGTTTGGTTTTACGCAACTTTTAGCAAATATTCCAACACATATCACGGTGGGGGACACGAGAATTGGGTTTCACCTTGTATCAATTTAGGGGACGGAACCTGAGCCCTTAGTGAGACAAGCAAATGCTTTAACCACTTGACTACTCCCATAAGTAGAGGCCTGATGTAGTGTGTTCCTGTGTTTGTGGATTCCCATGTCCATCCAAGGGGAGACAACTCACATACAGTGAAACCCTGGCTCCATTTAAAGGACATACTCCTCACGTGTCTATGTGACACTGGTTCATTAATCCAGGAATTTGTTCATCCAGATTGTTTTCCTAGCAATGGTAGACCAGACAATGGGGTCTGACAGTATGACAGGACGTGCGCTAACTCCTGTTTCGCACCAAGTATCTGGCTTAGTGTAGTCGTCTTCCTTCGATGACCTTGACCTTGCATTGAAACCAGGCCCACGCACACTGTACTGAGGTATGAAAGACATGGTAGATCATCTCCGCTAATATATTTGGTTATACCAACTCCAGAACCTGCAACATTACAAACATGTGCCCTTCAGTAATTACTTCCTATATTAATTTTACTCGTTTAACAACACACTCAGCAATATTCCAGCTATTTGACGGCGGTCTGTCAATAACCGTTGTCTGGTCCAACCCAGAGACTGATATCATGAGAATCGATTCATGCAATTGGGATACAATGACATGCATCAAACAAGTCTGTGAGCCTGACCACCAGATCCTGTTAGTCCCCTCTTATGACAAGCATGGGTTGCTGAACTTGGATCGTCCAAGGGGTCCTCTATAATGAGTCAGCTTCTATAGTTTAGGGGTCTAGGTTATTAATAAGTGTCAGTCAGCTACAGCTTATGTTTGTTTGTTTGTTGTTTAACGCCACACTTGGCAATATTACAGCTATATGACGGCGGTCTGTAAATAATCAAATCTGGACCAGACAATCCAGTGATCGATATCATGAGCATCCATCCACACAATTGGGATACGATGACATGCATCATCCTGACCACATGATCCCATTAGTCACCTCTTATGACAAGCATAGTCACCTCTTACAGCAAGCATGGGTTGCTAAAGACCTATTCTAACCCACAACTTCATGGGTGTATGCTCATGATTTCTACTCATTACATTTGAAAAGTGGCTGAACTAAAACAAGAGTTTGCCACTAACGTGGCTATATCCCCCGCCCCTGTTGCAGAATATATGACATAATTATATCTAAACAAACCCTAGCCTTTTTTAACCGAGGTGGAACTTGTTGTCATGGAAATTGTAAAAAAAAAGAAGAGTTTGGAACCCAAGTCCATCTTGTTGCCAAGGAAAAAATATAAAATAAAAATTTATAAAATTTCTAAATAGCAAAAGGCACCAGTTTAGCATGTACTTGACAGACCTGCAAAGTTTCATGAAAAAATATTGAAAGGTTTCTGAGTTAAGCTCCGGAAACAAAACGCGACGGATGGACGGACAGAGCCCGTTTCTATATCCCCCACCAACTTTGTTGGGCGGGGGATAATAAGCTGTCCCTTCTCATCACAGACTAGATCTACTGGATACTGGACAAGAACAGGAATTGAACATGAGCTGGGCATCTAATATAGGATGGGTCTAAATTTAAACTGAAACGCATTAAGATATATATCACAACCTATTACGGATTGGATACCAAAGATCGCAGTAACATCACAGTTAAATGTGAGCAACCATGCCTACAGCAAACAGATTGTGTTCCGTGAGATATTAGTGATACCGTCACTCAGAGCTCACTCACTACAGAGCTTTGGGGATACTTGGCAGCTATTTTGGTCCTCTGATCCACATTCAGTGACATCCTTGTTATAATTCTACATGACTGCTTACCTTGACCGTTCCTTGGCTGTTTGCTGCCACAACAACATTGGATCTCTGAAATCAAATCAGAATGACATTCATACACTGTTTGATTGGTTGGTTGGTTTGTTTGTTGTGTAACGCCGCACTCAGCAATATTCCAGCTATATGACGGCGGTCAGTAAATAATCGAGTCTGGACCAGACAATCCAGTGATTGATATCGATGACATGCATCAACCAAGTCAGCGAGCCTGACCACCCGATCCCATTAGTCGCCTTTTACAGGCAAGCATGGGTGGCTGAAGACCTATTCTACCCCGGAATCTTCACAGGTCTTACACTGTTTGAAGTTAGTAGAGGTGTAACCACATGGTTTTATCACTGCAATCCCCATAATTGTAGATTAAAAACGATCTGATTATGGCAAATTGTAATGGTAGGCACCTCTGCCTTTAAAGTATGAGTAGTGTTTATTTGTTTACCAGGACAGCACATTTCCTCAACTAGGTTCAAACTACAGCTGGAGTGGAAGGGTCTCACTTCACTTCATCACTAAAACACTGGCTTTTCTGATTTTGTTTGTTTGTTGATTAAAGCCTCACACAGCACTGTGACAGTCTGGACCTCATAATTCCGTCACAGATATTATGAGCATCGATCGACGTCAAGCGACCACCCGATTTATTGAAAGTCGCTCTAACAGCAAACATAGGTTGCTGGGGACCTATTCTAAGCTGGAATCTCCGTGGGACTGGCTTCTGTGAAAAAAGTAGGAGTGAGTGAGTATGGTTTTGCGCCGCTTTTAGCAATATTCCAGCAATATCACGGCGGGGGACACCAGAAATGGGCTTCACACATTGTACCCATGTCGGGAATCGAACCCGAGTCATCGGCGTGATGAGCGGACGCTTTAACCACTAGGCTACCCGACCGCCCCGAAGAAAGTAGGATGTGGAAGTAGTTTCACTCACAGGTCTCCATGTTACAGCACTCACAAACTCATTGGCATCTTCATCCTTTCGATCTTTATCCTGAAGAACAACAATCACATTTTTACCAAATTTATCTATATCAAGGAACTCTAGGTAGTTGAAAATTAACTAAACTTAGTCTTCATAACCAATTGAACAAGGGAAATAACTAAAGATCCAGTAGGCAGGATGTTGGTTAAAACTTGTACATAATACTATTGCGACATGTAATAACTGAAGATCCAGTAGGCAGGGTGTTGGTTAAAACTTGTACATAATACTATTGCGACATGTAATAACTGAAGATCCAGTAGGCAGGATGTTGGTTAAAACTTGTACATAATACTATTGTGACATGTAATAACTGAAGATCCAGTAGGCAGGATGTTGGTTAAAACTTGTACATAATACTATTGCGACATGTAATAACTGAAGATCCAGTAGGCAGGGTGTTGGTTAAAACTTGTACATAATACTATTGTGACATGTAATAACTGAAGATCCAGTAGGCAGGATGTTGGTTAAAACTTGTACATAATACTATTGCGACATGTAATAACTGAAGATCCAGTAGGCAGGGTGTTGGTTAAAACTTGTACATAATACTATTGCGACATGTAATAACTGAAGATCCAGTAGGCAGGATGTTGGTTAAAACTTGTACATAACACTATTGTGACATGTAATAACTGAAGATGTATTGGGCAACACACCAGCACACTTCGGACTGTGTCAAACTTGTATGTCATCAGTTGTTTGGAAAGACCCTTGTAGTAGATATAAAGAGAGTTGTTCTCGCTGCCTGAAACAGAACGAAGAAGATTTAGGCAAAATATGCTAAGAATGAGATTCAAAAGCTGTTCAATGGAAGACTTCAGCATGAATCCAGCCATATCACAGTTAACAGTCTGGGACAAACAAAAAGTAACACTAATGACTGGCAGAAATCAATTCCCTCGAACCCTACTTAGGACACCTCTAATGACAAGCTAGATCTACTGGGTACCTGCAGCCATTCACTCCCTACTCCGGACACAAGCTAGATCTACTGGGTACCTGCAGCCATTCACTCCCTACTCCGGACACAAGCTAGATCTACTGGGTACCTGCAGCCATTCACTCCCTACTCCGGACACAAGCTAGATCTTCTGGTTACCTGCAGCCATTCACAGACACTGGCTTTTAACCCTCCTTGTCCAGCTGCTGCCAGTAGATCATAACAAATACTGACATCTTCATGCACCTCTGTATCAAAGCAATTTATCAACGGGTAAGCCGACTTCTTGACTTACCACATGAGACATAGTCTCCATCAGTTGCCAGACCAACAAAGTTTTTCTCGTTGATGTGACCTTTAAAAGTTCGTACTGCGTTGGGTTTGTTGAGATTCCACAGCTTGAGCTGACTGTCCGTGGACCTACAAAAATAGTCAAACGAGGTGAATATCTCCAAGTACAGTTCAAGGAGGTGAATATCTCCAAGTATAGTTCAAGGAGGTGAATATCTACAAACATAGCTCAAGGAGGTGAATATCTACAAGTACAGTTCAAGAAGGTGAATATCTCCAAGTATAGTTCAAGGAGGTGAATATCTACAAACATAGCTCAAGGAGGTGAATATCTCCAAGTACAGTTCAAGGAGGTGAATATCTCCAAGTATAGTTCAAGGAGGTGAATATCTACAAACATAGCTCAAGGAGGTGAATATCTACAAGTATTCTGCAGTTCAATGAGGTGAATATCTACAAACATAGCTCAAGGAGGTGATTATCTACAAGTATACAGCAGTTCAAGGAGGTGAATATCTACAAGTACAGTTCAAGGAGGTGAATATCTCCAAGTACAGTTCAAAGAGGTGAATATCTACAAACATAGTTCAAGGAGGTGAATATCTCCAAGCATAGCTCAAGGAGGTGAATATCTCCAATTATAGTTCAAGGAGGTGAATATCTCCAATTATATTTCAAGGAGGTGAATATCTCCAAGTATAGTTCAAGGAGGTGAATATCTACAAGTATTCTGCAGTTCAATGAGGTGAATATCTACAAACATAGCTCAAGGAGGTGAATATCTACACGTTTACAGCAGTTCAAGGAGGTGAATATCTACAAACATAGCTCAGGGAGGTGAATATGTACAAGTATTCTGCAGTTCAAGGAGGTGAATATCTACAAACATAGCTCAAGGAGGTGAATATCTACAAGTATACAGCAGTTGAAGGAGGTGAATATCTACACATATAGTTTAGGATAGATCTACACAACTGGAATGACATGCATCAACCAAGTCAGAGTTGACTGAAATGTAACTTACGCTGAGACTATTTCCTGAGCATTGACAAACTTGGCGTATGACACTGCTTTCCTGTGCCCCCGGAAGACTCCAACTGCTTGCTTCGTGTTCCGCAGATCATAGTAGTGTACACAGTGATCTGAAACAAACACCAGTCTCAATCAACCACTAAGATTTACTTCAAGGGAACAGAATTTCACATTCATGCATATTTGGGGCAGTAATTTCCCCAAAAAATCATAACTGGTGCAATAAATTTTCTAATTTAAGAATACTAAAATTTTCTAAATTCAGACTACTAAATCCACTACTCTGTAAATTTCTTTTTGTTTAAACGACTAGCAAACTCTCAGAATTAAATGAGACTTAAAAACTTAAGGAAACAGAAAACAGAGGTTTCATAGTATTTCTGCGGTCAGTGTATTCGACAGTAAACAAGCATGGCCATGGCACCCAAACTTAGAAAATGACATCCCCCCCCCCCAACCCCACCCCAGTATATGGTGTGTCATGATGACTCCCATTTTTATAAGGCTATGTAAAAGTCTGACAGTAACCAACTCACTGTATTTAAACAAATACCATCAGCACATACTCCATGATTTTGAGCTATCCCTTATATTGGAATATGGTGTTCAATTGATATTAATTGAATTCCATCATAATAATCTTACCTGCAGATCCGAAGGCTAGATGGTACCTGCTCTCTGGGTTGAATTTAACACAGCACACATTGGCCTTGGCCTCAAGGTTGGCCACAGAGTGCTCCGAGTTGATGGCCCATAGTTTCACTGTAACACCGATGTAATATATTGCAGTACTAGAAATTAACACATGGCATGTGGCAGAATTGTAACCTCACACCCCCAAATCATGAATTTTCAACATATTTGGTTCTTTTTGTTTGTTGTTTGATGCCACACTAGACAACATTCCATCAACATTCCAGCTATATGACAGCAGCCTGTAAATAATCAAGTCTGGACCAGACAATCCAGTGATTGATATCATGAGCAATGGTACATTCATACTGTTGGGGTAAGAAGCCTCACAATCAAAGTCATCAAGCTTGAAAAGCTGATCCATTAATTCTAGGGACCTATTCAAATCTAGAATACCTTCGGGTGAATTTCAACAAAGATTACAAGGATAAAGTGACATTCAGCCCCAACTACAGCTTAGCCAGTGCCAGTAATAATGACGGTAAATATTTCATCTGCTAAATGAGACGAAACACCGATGCATCAGTGGATCGCAATTTTGTTACTTCTTGATACACGTACAGTATCATTCACAATCATGCACTAAAATGTATTCTTTAATAAATGTTACACCAAACACTTATTTTTACTTGTGAAAACATAAATATTTTCACCCATTGTGGCATACTTGACATTGCCAACTGTAAAACGTTAGTGTGCCAGATATTTGGTCATCCTGTCTTTGAAAAAGATGACTTACGCATCACAGATAAGACCACATGCAAGTATTGTGATACGTATCGTATCGCACAGTTGATGCATCTTCCCAGCCCTACTAACTACTTATCCTACAGAAAACCACTAGTCCAAAATGAGAAGAGGACTAGTTGACTTATTTAGAATCCAATGATGTCTGAGCATCAGATATGAAGTTATCGAGGTTCCTGTGTCCAGAGTTCACTAGATTATCTTAAAAATACTTAACCTGTACCTTTGGCATCATCCGAGCCAGAGGCTAGAAGTTTGGGATCCATTCTGTTGAAGTCCACACTCCAACAACGCTTTTCATGCTCCTGAAATGTAACAATCACAAGGTACTCTACACACTGAGATCACACACCAGCACATCAACACACAGATCTCATCATCATATATATATTGTTTGATACAATTTCAAGAAATAGTGCATATAGAAGCTCATGGCCAGTCACTGAATATACTATCAAGAGTCATCAGGAGAGGACATACCCCCCAACCATGATGCAATTCGGAAATTTTGTTTCATTGCCATTGTCACTGCTGGGGTCAAGACAAGAGTTCTATTCACTTATGTCATCACTGATCACACCTGCAAGTCCAGACAGACGCCACCCACGCAACACAGTGTCTTTGTTCTTTGTTCTGCGTCAAAGGCCGACACAAGCAAGCGCGCATGTATTGTTTTAGCAGAAGTACTCTAATCAGCGCTAATAAGCGATGCTGTTTAGTGTGTGATTGGATTGATGTAAGGTTGGATCAAGGTGAGGATTCTCCTGTAAACCTGACAATTTCTTAAGAAATAAATCCACTGATGCTTGAGAGGAGGGAGTTATCGCATTCATAATGAGTCGCATTTTTTGCTTGGGGCCAGCCGTTAAGCATTCTTTAGGAGACGCATTAATTCCACGATTTACAGTATTCAAGTCAGGACAAGACAATCCATTGGGATACAAGGACATGCCATCAACCAAGTCAAGAAGCCTGGCCATTTTGTCGCCTCTTGTGACCAGCATAGGTGGCTGAGGATCAATTCTAGCCTTCAAGCCCAGTGAGCTGGCACTAAGCTAACCTACCTGAAACATTCGGGCCTTGCTGCCAGTGAAGGCATCCCACAACGTGACTGTTCCCTCATAATCAGAGCTGGCCAGCATCCCTTTGTGGTAGGCGCTCCAAGTCACACAACTGAATGACAGATACAACACAGGTTTACACACTTCAACACATACTTCTAGGACCAATTGGCTGAATTTAGGCAAACTGCACTAGAAACCTGGTATATCGTAGGCAAACTGCACTAGAAACCAACTACATTGTAGGCAAACTGCACTAGAAACCAACTACATTGTAGCCAATTTCCACTAAGAACAAATAGATGTTTAAATGAAAATTATTTTCAGTCAAGGCAATTATCACTGTCTGAGAACAAAAAATTTGTTCTCCTTTTCACCCCACAAGGATAAACTATTGTTTTCAAATCTTAAAATCAGAATCTTGGCCCAAAACTTGTGTACCACACATATGTCTATCCTGATAATTATCTATTCTTCAAAGTACTGAATGACTTCAGTAATCAGTCGTCATACTGAAGATTAAATTGAACATTACTGTTTTTCATAGAACATAACATTCTTGAATACATGACACTTTTTTATGGATAACAACTTCTTAATCTGAAAGGCCCATATGAAGGGGCAAGATGTAACTCTAAAAATGTCATTTATACTTTCTTATATACAAAGACCTTCTTCCTCCTGGCACTAGCCGCAGCCAGAATGTCAGAAATCCATGCTCTGGACTTAAGTCGTACCAGATTTGACTTATCCTGACTCATACGCTGAAGCATCCCACCATCCCTGCTCTCTCCAATGGCACATGTTTCCGGTGCGCTTGTGTGTGAGAGGGGTGCGTTGGGGTGAGATGTGTTCTGTTCATTGGGAACACAGAAGTTTCTACTATGTTTCGGGAATAAGAAGAGATACGCAATTTGAATAAGTCAGGATAACGTAAAATGAAGTCGTTCTCAATAAAATAAGTGTCATATATTCATGTTCTTCCAACTTCTAAATGTCTATCAAAGACTTAATAATATTCTTACCTTATTTTAGAATTGCACAGCATTTCCACCACCGGGTAATGTATATCTACAACATCTTTGATAACTGTACCATATTCATATACCTGGAAAGAAAAGAGGGAAACATACAGCTTGGAGAGTGTGAGTGACTGAGTTGATTAAGCTGCTTTGAGCAGTTTTATTTCAATTCTTAATGTGATACAGGTCAATTGACATGCCTTTGCATGTGTTTGTGATGGTTGCCCCTGATGGGCAGGATACGCTGACGTTTTTGTGAACTCCTGCTATTATCACTATTTAATAGTGATTCGTAACACATTCTCAGGATATACCAAGTTATTAACAGGGCCTAATTAAACCAGAAACCATTAATCACATTCCTTCCATCATCAATAAAGCATTCTCTGCTGCCATTGTGGGCACCCAATCCTCAAAATGTTGAATTATAAACTGATGTACTATTTAACAAAGTGTCAACTTACTTTTATTTTTTTGGTAACGCCAGCAATGGCAAAATAATCACAGTCTCGGTCAAACTCAATGCTGAAAAATAGAACAGTTCAGTAAGTGAATAAGACGAAACGGAAAAGAAAATATGACATACAATTCTCAAATATCACAGTATGATGCTTTATTCTATCATATACTCCCAGGGACATGATGAGAGAAGTGTTTCAAGATTCCTATCATCATTAAAACCTTCACTGCTTCTAACAAGTTAAAGCACAGTCTACAGTACTTGAAACAGATGCCTACCTACAATCTCAAAACTTAACTGTATAAAATGTGCTTGTAAGCATTCTATTATTTCTGTTGTGGTGACTATTGGGGCCATTTTCATTATTGCAATTGTACTGCAATAGAACCCCCACACTATTTCAACAGTATTGCGATAGTGGTCAAACCAAAGGGTCATTACTCTAATCTGAAGCTGTCTAAATAACTGCTATGCAGCACAGGGCACATTTGAAATTTGACTGTAAAAAACTGAGGTTTTTTATGCATTATTTAACCTAATTGCTACTATTGAAACTATCAATTGCTATGCATACTATTAACAATACTATTGGCATTTTTAAGTAGCTATTGATATTGTACAATTGCAGGGCTAATGATTGCAAGACATCGATAGTTAGGGATATCATTACATTCCTCCGGTTGAGTAAAAGACTTCTTTGGTTTCGCTGGTTTTGCTTTGAGTTTAGAGTTGATTTATCGCTGATTTCAAAAGTAGTGCAAACTAAAATTACTTTGTTCGTCCCCAAAACATGTATTATAACACCGGTCCAGCATTTATTTATTTTTTACTGGTTCTTAAGAAAATATGCTAGGACCAGTGTAAGTGTCAGACACTGCTTGGTATTGTCTTCATTCTTCCTGGCATACTACAGCAGGAGATACCAAAAATGATTGTCACACACTGTACCATGTTTGGAATTGAACCCAGGTCTTCGGCATGATGAGCCAATGCTTTGACCACTAGGCTATACCACCACTCTGGATATGTTCTGAAAATGTTTCATAAATCTGACCTTGAAACTATACTGGATCCACCATTGAGAAGGTCAACAGCATAGCTGAGAGTAGCTAGAGGTCGAAATGAAGAGAAGCGAGTAAACTTTGAAAGACTGTCTGTGAACTCTCGGAGTCCATCATGAGAATCATCCCCTGGAACACAATGAGGTCACCAGTCACAATACAGCTGAGAAAAAACATCTTGTGTGTTTGTTTGTTTAATGCCACACTCGGCAATATTCCAGCTATATGATGCCAGTGTGTAAATAATCAAGTCTTGATCAGACAAGTGATTCATAAGCATTTGTCAATAAGGCATCAACCAAGTCCCCAGGCCTGACCACCCAATCCATTTGAGGGTTGCTGGGGACCTATTCTAACCAGGAATCTTTGAGTTCAGTATCTTGTAATTACCACAGAGAATGGAGTCAGTGAGTTAAGATTTAAAGTCACATCGGCAATATTTCAGCCATATCGTGACCATATCGATATGACCATATCGATATTTCAGCCATATCTTGAGGATGGAACACAATCATTGACGTTCTGTGTGCTGCCTCATGAATCATATTTATTGCAATAATTAGTGAAACACATCATATTACAACAAAATATCCAGATCCTACATGGAACAATGAGTACATGTTGTTAAACGCCATCATGGCCATAGTAACAGTGATATACAAGCCATATCAAGGCGAACTGTAAATAACCTGTGCAAGGGACACTCATGGTTGACAACACAAGCAAAGATTCGAGAACCTGAATTACTCACGTCAATCACATCTGATCTCACCTGTAGCTACTCCTTTTACTCTTGTATCGAAGTAACACTGTTCAAGATCCTCAAAATGTTGGCTGATCTGCTTCCTCCGAGATGCCATTGTTGTTTGAGTAAACGATTTCCCTGCCTATCAAAAAACAGAGAACTGATTAAGAAAAGAAAACAATGTTGTACATTTTACAATAAATTGTATATTTATTATACTTATCCTATATCACACTATGCATTTCTTCCTTCTTCTTTCGAACCTATGTGGAAACAGGCTTGAACAAAGTTCCCAGCTTCCAAAAAACAAATCCCCCGAACACATCCCACTATCACCATGGTCACCACCAACTAATATGGATCATGCACTATAATCATGATAATCCAATATTTATATAATTCTAAGTTCCCCTCTTATCATGTCTATGCCAAAAATATAGTCCATGAAGACATGACTTCATTCATACAGCATGACAAACTTTAATTGATTGATTCCTGGAACATAACAGGGCCTTATTCAGCACAGTATATTTCACAGTGCTACATTAGTAAGCCAGTTGAGTGAGTGAGTTGGGTTTATATCCACTTTAAACAGTATCCCAGTTATATCACGGCATGTCAGCATGATATGGTAGCAAAGCCCAAAGTGATGCATGGCATAGGCATTTCCAACTGTGGAGAAACCCATGAGCATGGGTATAGTGCTGACAAACCTAGAAACATTATCGGGACAAACCAGGATTCGAACCCACGATTATAGGTCTAAAGCATGCACAAGGGATGCAACTCTGCAGATCACATCTGCCTTAGACAACGGGGCCACCCATATCCCCAGTGCGCTAGTTGAACCTGCACTTGTATATAGAAGTTAAGGAAAAAGGAACTGAAATGCACAAATATAATGGAAAAACTAGATGGAAACAAAAAAGACTTCAAAACGAAAGTTTTTATCTGGCACATAGCAGGAACTTTATCAACTTGACAAATGTTTATATTCTTGAAACAAACTCTACCTATGATCAACTAAAGTAACAGTACTCACATTTTTACTTCCGTTAAAACCATCTTGACAAATGGATTCATTAATGGACGGCCTAATAGGTTCGAAGCCATTTGGTACAAGATGGTCCTGAAACAAACAGTCCGAGATACACATCCTTCTCCAGTAGAGAATGACACTACACTGACACTTTTCCTCACATATAATCATGCTTAGTGAGAAGTTCCAAAATATAATGTAGAATAAAAAACATAATTATGCATATTTGAGCCACCCCCCCACGACCCCACAATTAAATAAATGAAATCAACATAATCATGAAAATGTTGAGATTCTGTTATTAGGCTAATTCTAATGACAAATAAAGCTGCTGGTGTGACAGAGCTTTCATGTGGCATGTTAAACTGACTGTTTATCGCTAAACATGCTCAACACATGTTCCAACCATGTTTGAACAGTGACAATTAGAGCTGTTGTTTATTGACTTGAACTGTAAGTCATCTGAAAAGTGGATATTGTCTGACAGAAAACTTGCAGACCTGTTGTGCCTCAAACTTTAACAATTATGAAAGTTATCCCACATCAAACATTCAAACTGCTCCCATAGATATGTCAGAGGGAGAATGTTGTCTTTAGACCGATAAAACGAGAAAGGATTATTTGTTTGACAATTGAAGAGTGAGTGAGTGAGTAAAGTTTTACGCCGCTTTAACCCTGATGTCATCAGAAAGGAGATGAACAATTACAGACCACATAATCTGACATGCCCATATATCACATCTAGTGTGTCAATTCCCTTGCCAACCGTTACAAAATGTTGAAATATCTCCTGAGGTAGAATGCCTTGTAGTTACTTACTGGACATGCTGTGTATTTCTCTTGCTGCTCGTTGATATAATCCTGTTGATGATATGAAAGAAAACAATTACGACATTGGTTAAGTACTGGAGCACTAGCTTATAAACTCATTTACATGACATGATAACATACAGATTAGGGTAACTTTTCAATATTATAGCATACAATCTGCGGCTTTAATCACTATACTGGAGCTACATTGGGATCCTACACAAGACCAACACCGCTTCGAAAAGTATTCCAGTTATATCACAACGTGCCAGCTTGATATGGTAACAAAGCCTGAAGTGACGCAGGTCTTAGATGTTTACCACTTTGGTAAAACCCACAAGCAGGGGAATGGTGTTTAGAGTGAGTGAGTGAGTATGGTTTTACGCCGCTTTTAGCAATATTCCAGCAATATCACGGCGGGGAACACCAGAAATGGGCTTCACACATTGTACCCATGTCGGGAATCGAACCCGGATCTTCGGCGTGACGAGCGAACACTTTAACCACTAGGCTACCCGACCGCCCTGGAATGGTGTTTAGAAATTAAGCAGCAAAATCAGACCAGGGGTTTGGCTTTTGTGGGGCAAATCGGGAGGATTCAGTGGTATTAGAAGTAGGTATGGAAATGTCTGATGTATTTACTGTACAGCATGTACTAGGAGGTGGACAACACTAGTTCTACCACAGACAGACTTACATCTACTCTTTTGGCATCCTCATCTAGGAGGTTAATATCCCGATTCAACTTTTCCAGTTCCTGAAGAAAAACAAAACTACTGTTAGAGAATCAGTGGATGTTGCTTAATGCCAAGTCAGCAATATTTCAGCCATGTCAGGCAATCTGGTCGTGGCAGATAGCATTATCATGATTATCAGCGATGTCATAGATGCTCATGATAAACAGTTAATCAGTCATTTAAAATATCAAGAAAATTAATGATTTAGTTGTAATGAAACTGAACATAAGAAGAGCATTTTTTATGTCCAACTATGAACCTTTAACAAACACTGCTCGCACTCTCAGATAAATCACTATACTTACATCTTGTTTCCCTTGTCGTACTCGCTGCAGAAATTCCTTCAGAATAATATTTTCAGCTAATTTACCATCCTGAAAAAAATATTATATGGTAGGAGTTACTTACTGATTGTCATAATGTATGTGTAAGGGTAGAGATGCTCTTCCATGACAAACAGTCGAGGTGATTCTTCTTGGGCTATTACATGCATCCTAATCATTTCACACAACTCAAAAACATATTGAAGTCAATTCTCAACAATAACAACTTCACAGACTGTTTATTTTATCATTAATACACCAAAACTGTAGACAATTACATGAAATCAGCGACATCGTTCATCGCAATAATGCAACACAAGCCGGACAGTTCTATTATCAACCAATCAAGAAACAGTAGTCTGTTAATTAGCGTAACCTAATGTGTTTTTCAGTTTGTGGAAACAGATGCAAACAAAATACTTGGATAGCCAATAAAATGCCATGGAATCACTTGCAATTTATATTCTAACCAATGAGAGTTAACAGTAATAGTGCCCAAAGAGGCAGTATGTAATTCTCCTATCACACATCACAGGCAGCATGCATGTTTTATCTACTGTTCTCAGGGCTTTATACTTCATCTGTCTATGATCAAGTCTCAAGTGTTGATTCATATCTAATGATATAATAAAAACTATTTATGCTACACAAGTTTAGTAAAATCTAAATATTTTTTACATTTGTATACTTATCCTGCATTACTCCGTATTGCATTTACTGCTATGTTTGACAGAGAGACGAACTCTGTGAGATCCAGCTGCTGAAGAAAGTTGTCCCAACCAGCCCAGGAGGCAGCGCCCTCTCACAGTCGGCACGTGACCCGGAAGTCATGACGTCACACCAAAAGACATAACTGCTTTAAACATAACATCTGAAACTTCGTGGGGAGGTAGCGTAGCGAAAGGGAGGGCACTTAGACTTCGTAATGCAGGATAAGTATACAAATGTAAAAAATATTTAGATTTTACTAAATTTTTTAACTTATCCTGCATTACTCCGTATTGCATCTTTATCAGACGGCTTGGCCGGTGGGCATACTTGCAGATGTGAACCATATTAAACCCTCGTCAAGGTCCGATGAATCCGCACCGCATACAAGTGATGACCGGAACATCTACGACCATTCCTGTCTTCAGGAAACAAGAGTCGATGCAAAAACGAAACGCCCGAATAGGTAACCGAAATACAATGAGGCGTGTAGCCAAAATATATAACTTACCGAAGAGCGAAAGCGAAACGCAGTAGAACCTAGAGCTAATCTGAGGTGATAAACACCAGAGAGTTCGACGGGCCCCGCTCGGGGAATCGAAGAATCAGCGGCGTCGGCGGCAAAATCTACGACCAATCCCAAGAGCGAATGCGAAACGCAGGAGAGCCCTCTAGGCTGGAGGCAAGGAACACCGGTGAGGTCGACGGGCACCGCTCAGGTACCAGAGAAGCAGCGGCGTTGGCGTCGGCGTCGGCGCCGGTGACCACATCTACTACCATTCCTGTCGTCAGGAAACGAGAGTTGATGCAAAAAGTAAAACCCGGATAGGTGACAGCAATAGAATGAGTCGGGTAACCCAAAACTAAAACTGACCTAAGAGCGAATGCGGAACGCAAGAGAGCCGTCTCGTCTGGGGTGATAAACACCAGAAAGGTCGACGAGCCCCGCTCAGGGTATCGGAGAATCAGTGGCGTCGGAGATAGATGACCTGTTGGGCTACAACCAGGGACCAAAACTGTGAACGCCGGCGACAACTTTCAAGGCTACATCACGGAAGTAGTGGTTGGTGAAGGCGGTGTCCGATCGCCACGAGCAGGCTTCCCTGAACGACGGGATGGAACAGTATACCGTGAAGAACCAGTGTAAATACGATCGCCCTGATCTCATTTTATTTCAGGTAATAGCCTTTGGGGGGAGGGTCCAATCCGGCGGCTCATACGCTTTAAGGATGACCGCCCGGAGCCACAGGGAAAAGTATTCCGGCTGACCAACGACAGCGACGAAGGGGAGACCGGCAGAAAAAGGTGTTTCCTAGACTTGCGGCAGTCTTTAGATCGTAGAATAACCTTCAGTGCCCTTACTGGGCATAATGACGCTCATCCTCATCCTCGGCACCCACACTGGACGAGGGGGGAGGGGACAAGGAATGATCTATCAGGCTGTCCTGGGAGTTGAATCTTTACGCTGACGTCCCAGTACGGTCCATGATGAACGGCGCCCTGGGTACCGCATTCGAACCGGGCATGGGAGGCGTCGAGGGCGTGCTGTACATGGACTCGAGCGGCAGTAGTCAAAACCAGTAGAAACACCCGTCTTCTACTTAAGGTCGAAGAAGGAAGACGAGGGGAGTGGTTCGAAGGGTATTGAAGACCACATTCAGATCCAACGCAGGCGGTCCGAACTTGGTCTTCAGGTCTTCAAGACTGAACGAGCGCAGCCAGGCCCGTAGGTCGGGAATTTTCGTCTTTCTCCGATCGTCCAGGATGGCCAGAACGGAGTAGATGGCGACCAGGTATGTGGGGGTGGTAAGCCCTTCAACCGATGGGTGCTACACAAGTACAGAAGGAACTGATCCAGGATCTGCGGTGACGCTGTCATCGGATCCTGGTGTTTGTCAGAACAAAATGCCTGGAACAAGCATCAGTTATCAGCATACAGTCCCCCTGTAGATGGACGGTGGGCTGAAGCAATAGCCTTGGTCGCTCTAGCCGAATAGCCCTTGGCTTTCTGCATGTGTGTCAGGCGTGCAGACGATAACATGCGGGTATGAGGGTGTGGCAACAGACCGTGTGGATGGAGCAGAAGGTTGGACCACACCGGAAGTTCCAGGGGTTGTCTCTGGCTATGTTTCGGAGGTCGATAACCCAACTTCTGGCTGACCAATAAGGCGAGACCAAAGTCAATGGCAGGGGTCGAGTGGCCTGGATCTCTGAAGAACCGTGGGAGGGAGAACCGGAGTCGGAAAAGCGTACGCGCGTAATCCTTCTCAGGAACGATGGAAGGCTTCGACTGCCACAGCGGTCGTATCCGGCACAGGTGGAATGGAAGACGACAGCTGGCCACATTCAGATATGAGGCAAACAGATCTAGGGTTGGGGTGTCGACCGTTTCACATAGTCTGGCCCGAGGCGCCGGAGAGCGTGAGGCGTCGGAGAGCTTGAGGCGCCTGGAACGCCGAAGATGGTGATTCTCGGGGGCGCCGGTCGAGTTTGTGGCGCCGGGAGAGGGGCGAGAACTCTGGGTCCGCAAACACCACACTACGGTGACGTCGTCAGTGGACACGATCAACAGGGCGTGACCGAGAATGCACTGTCAGCAAGTGCCGTCCTGGATAAGCATTTATCTCGAGGCTGTTGCTGTGCCAATGGTGTTGATCTCTGGATCACAGGTGGTCACAATGTGGGCTAGCGTGGGCCACTAGCCACTGACAAGGTGGCAGGGGAGGTAGTCAGCAACAGGGGTCTGTGATTGCGTACCGTCGGTACGATTCGGAAAAAAGGTGTGATCGCCTGCGAGCCAACCTCAAGTAGACGAAGTAAACCAGCTTCACAATCGACCGCCGGGGCATCGACGTAACCGGGTAGTAGGAAGTCGAGGCAATATGGCCATTGCACGAAGTAATGAGATCGTTTTCATCCCTGAAGCGGCGTATAAGTACTCCTGTTCTTATATCGAGGTGACGATGGAGGACGACAACACGATACGAGGCAGGTATGCAACAGGGGTCAGTGGGACGGCCGAGGGACTTTAAGTATCAAATCGACACTGTGTCCGGTAGTCAAGGCGGAAGATAGGACTACCTGTCGTAGTCGAAAAGATCAAACCGGACGAAGGAAGGCGATCTTTTCCATCCCTTGAACGCCTATAGGCGCTATCGTTCTTATAGCGAAGGGTTGATGAAACAAGGTTCCTCGTGACAGCCGTGTTGGTAGAGGAGGTCTATTGTTTCCAACAACCGTGCATGGATGGACTGCGACAGGCGCCTGGTTGAGTGGTATCACCAAGCGTACAGGTAGACATGGAAACCAATCTGTAGAAATACATGGCACCCCTTGCCATGGTAAGTTGACCTAAATCCGGTCGGAGTTGATGACAGTCCGAGTACTTGACACGTGACATGTAAATCACTCTGCGCAGTAGCCGAGAAAACCGCCTTGGAGTCGGAACTGAGGTGCAAACTCCACACACAGACAATCCTCAATGAACTGTGTGAGAGACGATCAAGTGGTGTACCCGAGTTTTGCGATAAAACACGGAACCCCATGGGCGTCGTGGAAAACACGGGGAGCGCCGAGGAAGAGTCTCTCTCAGGAACGCTGGCGCTAGGGTAGGGTAGAACAGCGTTGATGTCTGCGATGTCGACGAAGTAAACTCTTTGTAAGTGGATGTCGTCGTCGAATCTGATACAGACGCTGTTCACATGACGCTCTGTTTCGATGGAAACCCGCAGGTTATCTCTCCGGAATCATAGCGCTTTAAACGACGGGATTATGGATAACGTCTCAGTGGGCAAGTTGAATCAGACCAACTGTCTATTGGTTGAAATGATTCCACCCAGGAAGTAGAACGATAGTCACGATCCCGAAGACCGACGGGAGAGTAGCGAAAGGAGCGGCGACAGTTGTTTCACCATGCTTCTCCGTGTGACGAGTTATGAGACGGCAGCAAGAGAAGAGGGCAGTGGCGCCGGGGAGGCGATTGCCGATGGTGCCCCTTAAGCCGCAGTAGAAGATCGGATGGTCGGCTCGTTGATCTGAGCTTGATAAAGCTTGTTGATCTGAAGCTTGTTGAGCGCCGAAGACATCAGAGGATGCGGAGGCGCCGGAGCGCGGAGACATCAGAGGCGCCGAGACATAAGCGGCGCCGAGTTATCAGCTTGTCATGAACAAGTCATGAAGCTTGTTGAGCGCCGAGACCGTTCACGGTCTCCAACACCGTCAACGCTGATGTCTCCGGCGCCTCCGATGACTCGGCGCCTCTGATGACGCGGCGCCTCCGGCGCCTCTGATGACACGGCGCCTCCGGCGTCTCTGACGACGCGGCGCCTCCGGCGCTCCCGGCACCTCCGGCGCCTCTGATGACACGGCGCCTCCGGCGCTTCTGATGACTCGGCGCCTCCGGCGCCTCCGATGTCTCGGCGCTCCCGGCGCCTCTGATGACACGGCGCCTCCGGAAGCACCGAGTCATCAGAGGCGCCGGGAGCGCCGTGTCATCAGAGGCGCCGGAGGCGCCGCGTCATCGGAGGCGCCGGGAGCGCCGAGACATCGGAGGCGCCGAGTCATCAGAAGCGCCGGAGGCGCCGCGTCATCAGAGGCGCCGGAGGCGCCGTGTCATCAGAGGCGCCGCGTCATCAGAGGCGCCGGGAGTGCCGGGAGCGCCGGAGGCGCCGTGTCATCAGAGGCGCCGGGAGCGCCGAGACATCTGAGGCGCCGGAGGTGCCGGGAGCGCCGGGAGCCGCGTCGTCAGAGGCGCCGCGTCATCAGAGAGACATCAGCGTTGACGGTGTTGGAGACCGTGAACGGTCGTATGTCGTGCCAGGGGAGGCAGACTCTACGTTGGGAGCGCTGGAGCCGCCGGTGGAGTAGGAGACCGTGAACGGTCGTATGTCGTGCCATGGGAGGCAGACTCTACGTTGGGAGCCGCCGTGAAGCTCCGCTGAGCGCTGCTGCCGTCAACGTAGGTGGGGGTCGACGAGCACGTTGAGCGAGGTGTGTCCTGGATACTCGCATGAGCTGAAGGATCACAGCGACGAATGACTGCAACATCGGCACTGCCTTGTGAAAGTACAGGGCGTCGTACAATCACGGCAGAAAGGGGCGGCCCCGACCAGATTTGTTCCCGCGGAAACAAGTGCAGCGAGGCAGAAAATCTGGAATTTAAGCAAAACATAACTATGTGGCAAAGCCACAAAGTGCGGGAAGCATAATGTGTGGCCAATCACAAAGTATGGGAAGCATAAAGTAACTCAAAAACAGTATATTTTATTAAAGTTTATGAGATAAACAAGTACGCTAAAAGGGAGCGAAAAGGCAAAGCCTTAAGCAAACACGTAACCATGTGGCAAAACCACAGAGTACGGGAGACATAATGTAACTCATAAACTTCGTATTATATTGAAGTTTATGAGAAGAAACAATTACGCTGAGAGGTAGCGAAAAGGCAAGGCTTTAAGCACACCAAAACAACATACATAAATGTAATGTATTACCCAAGCCAAAGAGAGAATTCAAAACGCAGAACACGACATTACGTGGCCACGTGGTGAATGACCAAAATGGCGGGAAAGAAAACAAAATGGCGGGAACAACATTGCGCCCGTAAATTACTGTGACGTGAGCCACAGACGAGCGATAAACGTTACAATTTACGAATGGGAAGACCCTAAGGTCACGGCCCATAACAGGTAACAATGTAGCAGCATATAATGAATGTAGAAACACGCAAAATATAAAAAACAAATAATAAGCTTTAATTTCCACAAGGGATACAAAGTACGTCCGTCCGTGGAGGTGACAAAGCAGTTATGTCTTTTGGTGTGACGTCATGACTTCCGGGTCACGTGCCGACTGTGAGAGGGCGCTGCCTCCTGGGCTGGTTGGGACAACTTTCTTCAGCAGCTGGATCTCACACAGTTCGTCTCTCTGTCAAACATAGCAGTAAATGCAATACGGAGTAATGCAGGATAAGTTAAAAAATAATGGCAATTAATTATAAACAGCAGCATGTAAATATACTACTCAAAACAAGTTAAGGACCACCTGATTCTTTCGTATTACTATCTCACACACACACACACACACACACACACACACACACACACACACACACACACACACACACACACACACACACACACACACACACACACACACACACACACACACACACACACACACACTCACTCACTCACTCACTCACTCACTCACTTGTCCAGACCTGTCTAAACAGGACTAACATGCTGCTACCATGAGAGTGGTTAAGACAGAAACATGAAAGTCAAGGGTTCCTTACCATAACCCATATGTTTTAAGTCAACGATTTTAGAGGAAAAAAAGACCAAAAATACCCAAATGACCCCAGAGAACCTTCCATTTTTAAACACGGGTTTCAATTAACTCAATTAATGAGGGGCAAAGTTCACAACCTCCAAATTTACCATAACCATGTGTATCAGATTTCACAAAGACATCCCACATTGAAATAGATCAAACCCCATGAAAACAGACCATGTGCTGACAAACCAAGATTCAGAGCCATGCTCAGTGCCTTAGACCATTGAGCTACTAGTGTTCCCAGAATACTAGTGAAAACCAGTGACCACTAGGCTACTGTGACAAGTATGTTGTTGTAAGTACTCACAGCTTCTAGTTGTTGCTTCTTGTGTACCAGGAACTCCAGCAGCTGGTTGACATTAGCAAGGTCAAGGTTATCTTCCGACACCAAGTCCACCAGATCAGCAGGACCAGGACAAGTCTACATAATAAATAATAATAATTATAATTGTAATATAATCTCTCACTCTCACTCTCACTCACACTCACAAAATGTCTCTTGTTTTAATCCAACTGTTTGTTGGAATGGGATGCAACTTCTCTGCAATATGCGTCCTACATTGGACAGAGAGCATGTGGCCCTCCACAAAGTTGTGGCTCCATCCTACTCTGGCCTTCAAGTTGGTAGGACTCCAGGTAGGACTCCAGGTAGGACTCCAGGGTTCTTGGTAATGGGACCGCCTCTGTGGTCTAATGGTAGAGCGTCCGCCCGGAGAGCGGAAGGTCCGGGGTTCGATCCCCAGCCGCGTCATACCAAAAGACGTTAAAAGATGGTACTTGTTGTTACCTGACTTCTTGGTAATGGACAATGTTATCTTTCTCTCTTTCCCCACACCTCCCACCTGACGGTCCTTCACCCACTATCAGTTCAGTTCTACCAAGGGAAAGGCAGCTGACATATCCTTATCCACAAAAGTAAAACTCCTCTTCTCCTGTATATGATGTTCTCCTAGACGCCATGGTTAAGCATGAGGATACATAAAATTGAAGGACTCTCTATACACATGATACATGTGCGTGTTGTTTCTGAAGTAAATCTACTATTTTCTTCACAAGTATGTATTAAATAGTACAAAGTAAGACACCCATTTGCAGAAAAATTGCAATAAAAACCCGGAAACCATAAAACCCTAATAATGAAAAACGTCATTTCAGCAAAGCGTGAAATAGCCGAGGTGATTAGAATGGCTAGGTGGAAAAAGCCAAGTTGATGTGAGTGAGAGAGTGAGTATGGTTTTACGCCGCTTTTAGCAATATTCCAGCAATATCACAGCGGGGGACACCAGAAATGGGCTTCACACATTGTACCCATGTTGGGAATCGAACCCGGGTCGTCGGCGTGACGAGCGAACGCTTTAACCACTGGGCTACCCAACCGCCCCTCCAAGTTGATGTGAATGGCATGCTTGAGTGTATACTGGTACCCTGTCCTTCTCCAAGCAGCTCATTGGAGGCGAGGAGCTCAAGGGCTCCAGGGTATGCCAACCCGTCTAGCTCGAGTGTGGACGCAAGGTAACTCTAATGTCAACACTCACATTCTTAGCAGTCAAGCAGGTACCAATGTTTTTTTCCTTGGAAATATGAACACAACAATTATTATTAAAAAGCAAAATTGCAAATAAATCGACATGAAATGTTTATCATGTTTATGACTAATTCCAGGCCTTTTCAAGGCATCTTGTCTGAATTGGAGGCCCTTTCAAGCAAATTTTGCAATTAAGGACTTATAAAATGTTTGTTTGTTGATTAACGCCGCACTCAGCAATATTCCAGATATATGACGACAGTCTGTAAATAATCAAGTCATGACCAGACAATCCAGTGATTGACACCATACACATCAATCAACACAATTGGGATACAATGACGTACATCAACCAAGTCGCCTCTTACGACAAGCAAGGGTTGCTGAAGACCAATTTGGACCTAGATATTCACAGGGAGCTCCAATAATGAAAGGTTCAAGATCAGTTACAACTACATACCTGTTGCTCAATTTTGATTTTCTTTTCCTCCTGTTTTCCCTTGTACTTGAGAATCAGCTCATTCACTGAAACATGGTGGCACAAAACATAACACACAGAGCAGCAAGATGCACGGGCTGGTATCAGATGCAGAGGAACTTGATGACACATAAGCCTAAAAGGTTACTCAACCACATGATCTTCATCAGAGATTAATTTTCTGGAAGTGTAAGGTTTGGTTTGGTTTGGTTTGTTGTTTAAAGCCGCACTCAGCAATATTCCAGCTATATGACGGCGGTCTGTAAATAATCGAGTCTGGACCAGACAATCCAGTGATTAATATCATGAGCATCGATCCATGCAATTGGGACCGATGACATGTATAAACCAATTCAGCAAGCCTGACAACCGGATCCTTTTACGACAAGCATAGTCACCTTTTACGGCAAGCATGGGTTGCTGAAGACCTATTCTACCCCGGATCTTCACGGGTTGGAAGTGTAAGGAAAGTTTAAAAACTCTTTGTGCCTTTTATAACTTGCCCCTTGGTAACCTTTCGGACAAGAACGTACACGAACATGCCCTTTAATATATTCATACTACTCAAAAATAGTTAAGGACTACATGATTCTTTCATTATTACTATAGGTTATCTGTCACAGGACAGATTAACTATAGTAATATGAAAGAATAGAGAGGTCCTTAACTTTTATTGAGTACCATATATGTGGAAATGATAAACATGATTAAAATCATGCTTAAAGTTTGCTGTTTATATAATGCTGCACTCAGCAATATGACACTCCACCTATAAGACAATAGCCAGTAAATAATTTAGTCTGGACCAGACAAACCAGTGATTGATATTGTGAGCAACATCCAAGCCATTAGGCTACAAAGAGACACAATAAACAAAATCAGAGCCAATCATTTAACTCGCCACTTACGACATGCATAGGTTGCTGGGGACCTTATCTACCCCAGGACCCACACTGGGCATTTTGGGAGAAATCAACCTAGTAAGACCTTCAGGTATACCGTGTCTGTCCCAGGAGTGACTTACATGTAAAGTTGGGGAAGATGTGCTCTGCATTGTCGATGATGTAGTTACACTTGGGACACCTGTTGGTCTTCTCAAGGCACTGCTTGATACACTTGAAGCTGAAAAGAAAGCAGATAGTGAGATACAGGTAAAGTGAAGGGAAGTGTGTTTGTGTGTTTGTGTGTGTGTGTGTGTGCGTGTGCGTGCGTGCGTGTGCGTGCGTGCATGTGCATGCGTCGGTGCATGCGTGCGTGGGTGCGTGCGCGCGCGGGCGGGCGAGTGCATGATAGAATGACATGTGGTATCTGTTGAGTGTGATGTGTGTGTGTGTTGTGTGTAAGATGTGTAATGTGTGTGTGTGACGTGTGGGTGATGTGTGCGTGATGTCCTTGTTTTAATCCCTTAATGCTGAATGCCAGCCAGAGAAACATCAAGTACCATCTTTGCATGTCTTTTGGTATTTCACGTCCAGGGGACCTGTATGGACTTGTGGCAAGATCTTTGCCATAAAAAGTCACTCGTGGAGTTTCTTTATCTCTCTCCATCACTGCATTCTTATAGGGTGTAATGATTTATCTGACATCATTGGAACTGCTCCCTAATACTCAGCTGAGCTGGGACGTTGTAGTGTCGGGCCACCTACAATGAGGAGAGCCAGCTCAGCTGGGACCTTGTAGTGTCGGGCCGCCTATCTCTCTCCATCACTGCATTCTTATAGGGTGTAATGATTTATCTGACATCGTTGGAACTGCTCCCTAATACTCAGCTCAGCTGGGACGTTGTAGTGTCGGGTCGCCTACAATGAGGATAGCCAGCTCAGCTGGGATGTTGTAGTGTCCGGCCAACTACAATGAGGAGAGCCAGCTCAGCTGGGACGTTGTAGTGTCTGGCCACCTACAATGAGGATAGCCAGCTCAGCTGGGACGTTGTAGTGACCGGCCACCTTCAGTGAGGATAGCCAGCTCAGCTGGGATGTTGTAGTGTCGGGCCGCCTACAATGAGGAGAGCCAGCTCAGCTGGGACGTTGTAGTGTCGGGCCACCTACAATGAGGAGAGCCAGCTCAGCTGGGACCTTGTAGTGTCGGGCCGCCTATCTCTCTCCATCACTGCATTCTTATAGGGTGTAATGATTTATCTGACATCGTTGGAACTGCTCCCTAATACTCAGCTCAGCTGGGACGTTGTAGTGTCGGGTCGCCTACAATGAGGATAGCCAGCTCAGCTGGGATGTTGTAGTGTCCGGCCAACTACAATGAGGAGAGCCAGCTCAGCTGGGACGTTGTAGTGTCTGGCCACCTACAATGAGGATAGCCAGCTCAGCTGGGACGTTGTAGTGACCGGCCACCTTCAGTGAGGATAGCCAGCTCAGCTGGGATGTTGTAGTGTCCGGCAGCCTTCAGTGAGGATAGCCAGCTCAGCTGGGACGTTGTAGTGTCCGGCCACCTACAATGAGGAGAGCCAGCTCAGCTGGGACGTTGTAGTGTCGGGCCACCTACAATGAGGAGAGCCAGCTCAGCTGGGACATTGTAGTGTCCGGCCACCTACAATGAGGAGAGCCAGCTCAGCTGGGACGTTGTAGTGTCGGGCCACCTACAATGAGGAGAGCCAGCTCAGCTGGGACGTTGTAGTGTCCGGCCACCTACAGTGAGGAGAGCCAGCTCAGCTGGGATGTAACTTCTGGCCACCTACAGTGAGGATAGCCAGTGAGTTGAGCTGGCATGTAATGTCTGGCCATCAAGGATACATCCAACAATAACTGTACTTTCAGAATTCTAGGCCAGTATATATCTGGATGAATCACATCTATTATCTTAAAAGTAGTCTATACTGACATTCACAACAAAGCAGGGCTTGAAACCTAAAACCTCTAAATCAGAAAAAATATTAGCACTTGTTCATGCATCTGCAGCAATCTGACACATGAGCGTTCAGGTCTTTCCAGAGAGGAAACTTCATATTTATGTTGTTTTCCTTCTCATCACCATTCATAGTTTCTATTCAATCAGGCATTTTGCAAATTTCTGGTAACATGAACACAATGAATATCTTCATCGAATAACAAACAAAAAAGTCTTTGCAAATTCGCAAAAACAGAAGCAACCACTTCAAAGCCATTTCAAGAAGCCCCAGAAATCAATACACATAAACAAATGCATTTCTAGACATACGCATCTTCGGTTTGGGGGAATTACAATGCCTTCTACAACCAAATTAAAGTAGCTGTCTCTAGCTACATACTAAGGAAGTTCATTCTACTAGCCAGTGTTCTTTGCGGTCAAGCTGTTACCTCTGCCATAGGCCAGAAAGATAGGACAATTACAAGCCTCAGTTTGTAAATTTGCTTCTTTTTCGAAATAAGTACTCCAAATGTCCAGACAAACAACAGGTCCAGAAAGATAATATCAACACATGGTTTAACATGTTTAAGCCATTATCAGGATTATAATGACGTCCCACGAGAGTTGATGTTGTTGATTCTGAGCCAATAATCATGAAAATTCGTTTGCCATTCTGAACATTTATTTTAACAAGCAAAACTGACGTAACTATAGCTCATTATGCAAAATTAAAAAAAAATAATATATAAACTATATTAACATGGTTTAAGTCGGAGGAATCACTTGAATTTTTTTATTTCTTAGAAGTTGACAGATGACCAAGTAGCCACAATTTATCAGTAACTTCATTAATATTCTATAATATATAATAGTACACAATATTCAGTCTTGTTTGACAACGATATAAAGATCTTTATCATATAATGGGTAGGTTTCTCGGCAGGATAAAGCCAACGGATAAAAACGATATCCGTTGGGGTCATATGCAGATAGAGATGCAAATATCAAAGGACAAGTAGGGACTACTTTCACGGTTCATAAACAAACATGGAGTCGCCATCGTCATTCGGCGATCAAGTCAGAATTAACCATCGGGAATCTGGATAAACTACAGGGATAATTGCTATCATTATCAAAAGAACAGTCAAATATACTTAAAATCAGTTTCCAACTGTGACATAAGCTAAGGCATTTTATAAGTTTTGGCAACTTTGGCGATATAAATTTCGAAACAATTTCACGAGGGCACGAGGCCTAGCCAAGCGGAATCAGTAGCCATATCTGTGCTTGTAGACCTCTGCGGCTTGAAACCTTCTCCACAAATTAAAATAATATGTTTGAATTGTTACCTTGTTTCATTTTGTCACTGTGTGTACATCTGACTACACTTCTTAACGTTATGACAGGACAGACCGACTATCAACGTCTGACCGTGGCCATGACGTCTCATAGACTAGGGTTAGAGTAGCTTCCCTTTGACAAAGGGCAATTACTCTAGCGGACAGACCGACGGATTGCCGTGAAAGGCAATGAAAAACAACTGTTGTTTTGCGTTTATGTTGCTTCGCCACTGTATAAGAAACAGATTTCAGTTGGAACTATATTGGCTACTGTCACTGTCTGACTGACACATTACTTGCCCTGTGACGTAATAAATATTAATGCGCGCATTCCAGAAAAACTCGCAATGTTTCGGTAATGTTTGTGAGAGAGGGAAAGCGATTTTAAAGCACAGAATTAAAGAATGACATTATATGATAAAGAGGTTATAACGCTTGTGTGTTTGGGGATGGTAAATATCCTGTATTACGAAATAAACACTATGTATTTAGCTCGCCAAGGCTCGCTAAATACAATGTTTATTCCTAATGCAGGATATTTACCATCCCCAAACACACTCGCGTGATAACCTCTATTTATCGAAAAGTGACTACAGTAGTATATTAAAGAAGTTGTTATCCACAAATTGTGTCTACTCTGTTGATTCTGATAACTTCTTCATCATGACTGGGAAGCCAGACAACAATTCTTCATCAGTGGACTCCAACAATAGCCATGATAGCTAATTTTTTGCAACTGACGTCATACTTGGTCTTCTGTTATTAGGAATAGATTGTAATACCAAGTAAAGATGTTGGCAGGAAAGACTGCATTATCACCATCAATATGGCATACAATGAAACTTCATGAATTTTACACAACTTAAGTATGACATATATGAATAAGTGCATAATGTCTCACCTCTGTTGTGCGAGACAGCATTTGTACACACATAATATCCTAATCTGAGAATCATGCATACGTTTTCCTTTCAGCTCATTTTGTTTCATCGCTATTGTGTCATAATGTTTTATATATATCATTTGTTATTATGTGTGCAAAATTATTAATGTAATATCTGTACTATGTCCCGAGTGGGCACTTAATAAGCATGATTAGAGCAATCAAATTTCTTCTTTCTTTCCTCGAAGTTTGTCGTAAAATCTTCTGTCATGATCTATTCAACATTGATTGTCATGTAAATATTCTCTTGAAAATTAATGTCTATATAAAATAAATTCTGTCTAAAAGGACAATTTTTTTTTATCAAACATGATAAATAAAAATACTTACCAAAACGTATGTCCACATTTGGTCATATGAGCCTCTTCAATGATATCAAAGCACACAGGGCTGAAATATAAACAAAACACAATCAGTTTTCAAAAAGTCACACGGGTAATGAAATTCCGTCACAGAAAAATGTGGCCATTTCTGCCCTTATTGATCATCCCTGAGCGTGCTGAGAGAAGAATGTGGTTCCCATTCTGGGAGGCGGAAGTCTCACACACACCGGTGGGAAGGAAAGAATCCAGTCCTGTCCTACTACCAGGGTCAGCACACATCTTTATCATGTTTATACACTCAAGTATATTGTTTCACACCCTAAAACATCCAATAACACCTTAAAAAGTAAATGTCACAGCCTCACTTGATCTCACTTATATAGGACATGTTATATGTGTGATATTCAAGTGCTGACATATCAAAATATATTATTTCATAAGGGACCAAATATTCGTACAATTAGCATTGATTAGTGGGACAAAATCAAGTGTGGTTTGAGATGGACGGGCTACACACAGCTAGAAATGCATGGTTTTACTATTACCAGTATATCAGAGATGTTACCTTTGATGTCAGGGCTTGTGAAACCCCCTACCCAGGCCATACTGTTATAGTATACAGCAATACTTCAAATGATAAATATTGCAAATCATGTTTTTGTGTTTGGGTATATTAGGAAAAACATATACAAAAAGTTTCGTTATTATTTGTATCGCTTAACATAAAATCTACATAAGACAAGGGCGGATCCAGCATTTTTTAAAGAGAAAGATCCAAAATATCAAAATCCTTTCTCAGTCAATTTTACAACATACTACATTTAGTTTTCAAAAGACAGGTCCGGACCCACTGGACCCGCCCCCTCTGGATCCGCCTATGCAGGAATTCATTCAAAATTATCAGTGTCAAACACTTTAGCTCTCAATATCTATCATGTCTATCGCAATACAAATACATGTACCAGTATTGCAATATAGTGCAGTGCAATACAATTGTTTTGCCAATACACAGCCCTACACCCAACTTGAAGTTACAGACAAGGTGTGCAGCTATAGTATGTCACTTGAGGCGGTTACTCTCTGGTCTAGAGGCTTTCCTCAGTTACAAGTGTTGGATCTCCAACTATGTTTGCAAAAGGCCATGATGATGTAGGTAACCCCTGACCCTCGGAGTAGGACAAACTGAAGCTCCTCCGATCCCTGAGGGACACACATGGGCCGGAGCCATGTCTGTGGAATACCTCCATTAACTTGTTTCATTCATTTCAGTTATCTCTATGCTTCACATCCACGGCGACAGTGCACAAACTAATTCTTTATTTTGTTGTTTGTATGATTGTTTGTTTGTTGTTTAACGCTGCACTCAACAATATTACAGCTATATGACGGCAGTCTGTAAATAATCAAATCTGGACCATACAAAACAGTGATTGACATCATGCTCATCGATTCACGGAATTGGGAAACAATGATGTGCATCAACCAAGTCAGCGAGTCTGACCCCCCGATCCCATTAGTCGCCTCTTACAACAAGCATAGTCGCCTTTTACAGCAAGCATGGGATGCTGAAGACCTATTCTACCCCAGATCTTCTTCACAGGTCACCATGGTCACTAATTCTTTAACATGTATAAACACCTGTTTGTTTGCCTGCTGTCTCTAATTCCATAATGCATATCAATCTAACAACTAATAATAACTCAAATTACATACAATGTCTCAGTTTCACCTAGGATTCTAATCATGGTGTCTGGACTGTGGAGAACACACCCTCTTTAAACTGGCAATGCCCATGAGGTCATCCACAAATGGACTGAACAGTTGTCTGTAGTTATTACAGGTATGAATGTATTCTGATGACAGAGGGCAGTACTGCTCTCATCAGGAGCTGTAACCTTGAGCATGTTGAGTAGGTCAGGTTCCCCTTTGAACAAAGCATTCTTAGAACTAGTACTGTCGTGTTCAGATTAAATGAATTTATCAAAGATTGATTGAAAGGACCAAACGCAATAATTTGGACCCAATTTTCCATAATCAAACACAACAATTTGCCCCTTGTCGTAACCCTGCGATAGTTCTTCCTGAGAAGGTGTTTTCACTACATACTAATTACAGTGTTTGAAATTAAGCATGAGGGTCAAGGGTTCCTTGTCATTCGCCGAAAAGTTTAAAGTTAAACATGCTAAAGATTGAGAGGGTCCAAACACTACTCAGCACTCAGTCGTAGCACCTATACATTAAAATAGACTTAGGATTGTTGCAGTGTTTGACACTAACCAAAACAGGTTTTAAATTGCTGATACTTTATCATATTTATGCAACAAGTGAGTGTGCGTAATCAGAATGAGAGACCAAGGTAACCACTGCACCACACTGGGTTGTTTAGATTGCTGGTTTTGCTTGGAGTATAAAGTCGATCTATCACCGATTTCGAAAGTCATACAAATTTAGCCAAGATTACTTTGTTCATCCCCAAAATAACACTAGACCTGCATGTATTTAATTTTCCTGGTCCTTATGGAAATATGCTAGACTCGGACAAGCTGACCAGTGTTAGTGTTGAACACTGTTGTTGTAGCACTGTGATCACTTTGTGGACCAGCTTTGTTTCCAAGTTGATGAACATGATTCAAAAATATTTTAACCAATCAATTTCCAAATACAGTAAACTACGGTTATAATGAACTTAAAGGGACCACTAAATTTAGTTTCGTAATAACCGTAGTTCGTTATAAGCACATATACAGCATAATTACAGCAAATGGACGGGGCCAAAATACAGTTTGTTATATCCGTCAGTTCGTTCTAAGTGTGTTCGTTATAACGCAGTTTACTGTATCCAACTTTCCAAAATATTCAATTTAAACTGTCAGAATACCTTTATGTAACAAAATGTGCAGCTGCCATGATCAGCAATATTGATAAATTTTTGTGCACATGCCATATGCTTTTGATGTAATTCTGGGAATGACCATCATGCAATACAAATGTAAAGAAGAAAATATATTTTTTTCAATTCTAAATATCAGCATGTGGCCACTGGTGCAGTGCTGTCTCGCAAAAACCCTGCAGTAGTAGGGTGTACCCACACTGCCAGACACCACCACTGTTGAAGCAGAGAAACAGATGACTGGAATGCAGACAGCTGAAGATGTTCCCACTGATTGCTGCACATCACAGTAATATCCAACAGGCAATCAACTAAATCAATTTAAGAAAAGGAGAACCTTAAAAATTGACAATTTTGAACAAAATAGTAGTTTAAATCGAAAATCCTAGGTAAATCCTTGTAAATACCCTCAATAACAAGAGGCCCCTTTGTGGCTATAACTGGTAATACTAGTATGGACATGTGTAGTGTACTCCCAGTGATGGCAACACCCCTCCCAACACTGACCCTGTACATGTGTAGTGTGCTCCCAGTGAGGGTAACACCCCTCCCAACACTGACCCTGTACATGTGTAGTGTACTCCCAGTGATGGCAACACCCCTCCAAACACTGACCCTGTACATGTGTAGTGTGCTCCCAGTGATGGCAACACCCCTCCCAACACTGACCCTGTACATGTGTAGTGTACTCCCAGTGATGGCAACACCCCTCCCAACACTGACCCTGTACATGTGTAGTGTACTCCCAGTGATGGTAACACCCCTCCCAACACTGACCCTGTACATGTGTAGTGTGCTCCCAGTGAGGGTAACACCCCTCCCAACACTGACCCTGTACATGTGTAGTGTACTCCCAGTGATGGCAACACCCCTCCCAACACTGACCCTGTACATGTGTAGTGTGCTCCCAGTGAGGGTAACACCCCTCCCAACACTGGACCTATACATGTGTAGTGTACTCCCAGTGATGGCAACACCCCTCCCAACACTGACCCTGTACATGTGTAGTGTGCTCCCAGTGAGGGTAACACCCCTCCCAACACTGGACCTATACATGTGTAGTGTACTCCCAGTGATGGCAACACCCCTCCCAACACTGACCCTGTACATGTGTAGTGTACTCCCAGTGATGGCAACACCCCTCCCAACACTGACCCTGTACATGTGTAGTGTACTCCCAGTGATGGTAACTCCACCCCTCCCAACACTGGACCTGTACATGTGTAGTGTGCTCCCAGTGATGGTAACATCGCTCCAAACACTGACCCTGTACATGTGTAGTGTACTCCCAGTGATGGCAACACCCCTCCCAACACTGACCCTGTACATGTGTCCCTGTGAGGGTAACACCCCCCCCCCCCCCCCCCCCATGTCATCCTCCCATACAGAGGAAGTCCCCTGCAAGCTGAGGTAACCAAATCTGCTGACAATTGCCTGGCCGAAAGGAAAGGAGGAAGTGGGGAAGGGAATTCACAGGATACTTGACAGAATGGCCCAGACAGGAAGCCATTTCATCCACTCTCAGAATGACTACTTGCTAAAACAATCATCTTCAACTAACAACTTCCGACACTGGCTAGACCTTCTCACCCAGCCTGCACACAGGTTGTAGGAAACACCAGAAGCTAAACAAGCTCAAATCCATTAAAAAACATATTGCTAAAACGTCTGTTGAGCATGTTGAGTATTGTATTTGAACTTAATAATTATCATGATAGCTGACATAAACTCACACATTTCGGCCTTTTAGTGAGAAGCAGGATTCTAACCATGCTGATAAATTCCAAGGAAAAGGAAGAAAACAGTTTTCAGCTTAAAAGGTTATGAAGAGTAATTTTTTTTTACATTTGGTAGTTTAGGTATGTATAATGTTTGAGACACTTGAGATATATTTTTTCACTTAGAGACGCTCTAGAACACACAATTTTTTCTCTAAAAGGAGGAATTAAACAATGTTTCTGTAAGCTCAAAACATGTTTGTTTCTAAGCATCCAACATATCAACCATGTGTCCAGTGAACAAGTTATTTTTTGTTGTAAAACTAAAGGAAAAACTTTTCAGCATTTTGGGGAACAGATTATTTGTTTTAAAAAAAATCATTTTTTGTACCCTGCGATAATCCAGGGATATAACGGAAGGCCTGTAAATAATCTAGTCCGGACCAGACAATCCAGTGA